GGCTGCAGCGTCCTCCTTACGGCAGCTTAGATCTGCAGCACAAGAACAGATTTCCTCCTCAAAAGAGGAACTGGAAACAATCTGAGCGGGAAGCCTTCTTGTGGTCAACCTCATATTGATGATGTCTGTGTCTTGGTTTTTTACACAACCTTTCTCTCTGACATCATGCAAGTGATGGTTGTGAGGCTTTTTTAGTCATTTAACAGAAGGCACTTCGAAGTAGACTCATGTAACCGGCATCTGCTTTCTGCAAGAATTACTGTTCTCTATTGTGCCACAGTACTTTTGAATTGGTTTTGGGATGTCTGTCCCAAAATGTAGCATGAGTCTGTTTCTTGTGCACAGAAAGGCTTTCTGCCCAAACTGTGCTTTAGAACTGCCCCATTAGTATCTGCCTGTGCTGAGCCTGGCGACACACAACTTCAGGGCTTTAGTGAAGTCCTTAACTAAGCAGGAGGTCGAGCAACCGTTATGTATGGATTTGAGTTTACATTCTAGAACGAGAAAGGTGAATTTTCCTAATCCACGCTCTTGGCTACATATCGTGTGTTGGGACATAGGCTGGACATGATGATCTTGGAAGTCTTTTCCAGGCTCAGTAATTCTGTGATTCTGTGATTACCCCGAGGTGTCCTATTTGTATTGGGTTTTAATAGCTCTTGTGAACGCAGATGAAACTCTTCAAGCATGAAAACTTTTAAAATACACATTGCTTAAAACACCTGGGTTTTGTCACTGCAGCTGTATAGGGAGAACTAAATTATGGTTATTTTTCCCCTTTGTAACCATGTTACATGGGTAGAATTATTACTTTTGTTACATTTACTTAGTGACTGCGTGGGGGGAAGAGCATTTGAGGACCACTAGATTAATGTGTTTGTCTAAGTCTCTGCAAAAATAAAGCATATACAGGCACTTGTGCCTGAATGTAATGTTCTGTGATGGAAGCGAAGATAATAAGATTTTTTTTTCCTTTTTTTTTCCTTTTTTTCTTCTGTTTAGGACTTAGAGGAGTTCTGCTTTAAGTTTTGTGTCAATCATTTGACGGAAGTGACACAAACTACAGCATTTTGGCAAATGGATGGTCCCCTGCTAAAGGAATTCATTGCTAAAGCCAGTAAATGTGGAGCCTTTAAGAACTGAAATGAGGCTGTAAGTTACAGGTGTTGGTAGGGTTGTTTGCAGTTATAACAGGACGTCGTAACCGTATGGGTAAAAGCGAGTGTTACCTGGTCTCTCTTGTACCAGAAGACGTGAAAGGCCACGGGGAAAACAAATGTTTTCTGTGCTCAAGAGTGCAACTGTTGTAAAACCGTCAAGCACAATATTCACTTGCATTTAGCAAACCCAGATGGTGGAACCAGCTCAAGGTTTCAGGCGAAGAGAGGAAACACTGCGGTGTGCAAGGGACACCAGCCGGTGTGAAGGACTTGCCCTTTTTAGCCTAGGAAAGAAACCTCAGTTCTAGCACCACCTGTTAATATTTTCAGTTTACTTTCGAGGCTGGAGAATAGTGTGACCTGAGCCACTGAATGATGTCACTTAAATCATTAACTCCCTCGGGTTTTAGAGAAGCAAATGGCATGGGTATCTCTTACTGCATTTGCATGATTGTGAATGAATTTGCCATTTGCTATGTGTAATTAACCAAGTGTATTCATTAGAAAAATGGGAAAAAAATGTAATTATTTTCTATAATTAAAATACTATCCTCAAAGCCTATGCAAGTAGCTTTGAAGAAAGGGGTAACTAGCAAATATAATCGGAAGCAAATCTTTATATTTGGGTATACCTTGATGTAAGTTGTAACGTGTACTTTGTGTAATCTGTTCAAGCAATGTTTATAATGGTTAATGGAAAAAATCCCTTTGGTGATTTCCGATTACATTGGTTCCCTGGGAGGGAAAGGGATACAACGTTCTGAAAGGAGGGGGGGTTGCTTTTAAGTATTGTATAAATTTAAACTACACATAATAAAATCCACTTTTTTTTTTTCTACCTGTTCACTAGCAAACTTCTTGGGGTTTTGAAAGAGTTTGCAGGTTTTTTTGTGTTGCACAGAATATATAAGGGTGGTTTTTCTTTAAAAAAAACAACCCAACAACACAGAAACAAAACCAGGCCAAACACCCAGACTGCGTATGACTGAACCTTACTGATTTCACGGTGCTTGACAAAGGCCTGTGCTGGCAATTTCAGAAAACAGCAACTCTACTTGTAGGCCCTGCTTTAGACCCCAGTGATTACAATCTATGGATGGTTTTTTCCACTAAGTCCTTTTTTTACAGCTGGTACATATGGATGTGTACACGATAAAAGCAATGTGTTTGTCACAAGGTAGAGCAGAGAACCTGGAACTTCATGTTTGAAGTTTAGGTTAGCTACAGGTCTAATTGTGGGGTTCTGACTTTGCTAAATTTTCCAAAGCCTAGGATTTTGTATTGTTGACAGAGGTCAGGGAGTGCCCTGGGCATGATATGAGTTCAGTCTGGCACGGTCTGACAAAATGCTTCCAAATGTACCACACACATCTCTAATAAACAACGTGTTTTGGATTGCAAATGCTGGACTAAAGGTGGAGCTTGGAGGTGAGGGGGCGAGCATGGAACAGAAGCGAACAGATCCTCTCCTCGGAGCTGCGCTGAAGCTTCTCAGTAGTTCCCATCTAGGAAGAAAAGAGCTCACATGAGCTTTTGTTGCATTTCCCATGACAGTGGATTTGCGTTTTTGTTTTTTTTGTTCCCTAACAACAGATAAACTCATGCACCATGTTAATACGCTTTTGTTTTGGGTGGGAGTTTTCTAGGCAGAACAGCTGAGCAGCACGTGAGGCCTTGGCTCAGGCAGCACACACTGTGTCTGTTGTCCTGGCCAGCCCCCAGGCCTGAATTGTGGGAGCAAGTTAAAAAATACTGTTGTTTTTTTTCCTGTGGGGTACTGCCAGTGGTTCTACCCCAAGAGCTGATGTTTTGAAAGTTGTTCTTCTGTCCTTACTGCTCTCCACCCTCATCCAGAACAAGCTCAGGGCATAAATTTTTAGGAGTCAGGGAGAGAGTACAGCTGTGTCCAGAGGCCGGTGCCGCAGCCTGTCATGACAGGTGGTGCTTGAGATGAGGACGAGGAGCAGGGGAGTGCTCTGGCCCTGCTTTGCCTGTGCCTGAGGCAAGGTGGAGATAACCTGAGGTGTGTGTCAGCACACACCCTCCTCCACCCTGTCCCTGCCACAGAAGGGCTAGTGAGCATGAATAGATAGACAGCATTCTTAAAAACATTTTATTTTACCTTATCCTTTTGTAACTAACTAAACAATGCTTTTCTGTATTCAAACAAATTTTTTTTTTTTTTTAAGACAAGACAGATGGATGTTGTATCCTTTCTTAATGGAGAAAGGAAGATGCAGGCCATCATCTCATCCAGTTTACTTTGCACATGAGTATGATGTTCAGCCGTTTCTGTCTGCCTGCGAACACTGTTTTTCTCTTGCTGCCGTGACAGCAGACGTTGTTATGCGTTAAGCAGTCAACCAAGCATCACAGAATGTTCAGGGTTGGAAGGGACCTCTAGAGATCAGCTAGCCCAACCTCCCCTGCCAGAGCAGGATCCCCTAGGGCAGCCACACAGGAACGCGTCCAGGCGGGTTTTGAAAGTCTCCAGAGAAGGAGACTCCACAACCTCTCTGGGCAGCCTGTGCCAGTGCTCCGTCACCCTCACAGTGAAGAAGTTTCTCCTCATGTTGAGATAGAACTTCCCATGCTCTAACTTAAACTCATTATTTCTTGTTCTATTCCTGGGCACCGCTGAAAAGAATCATTTAACTAAAGAAACCAAACTCCTGTTTATAACTCAGAAGGCTTCTTTGAGTGCAAGTGCTGTTAATTTATCTTCTTTGGACAGCCAAAGCAGCAATGTGGTCCTTAAAAGATCGCTGTCTAGCTGTGGACAGCAAAGCAGCTGCCACACACAGTCCCAAGAGGTTCCCACGTTCTGTGGCAGCTGCTGCTCCCTTGTCTTTGAGAAAAAAAAAAGAAAAAACTTTAAGAAAAGCTATATTTGGTGTATATAACACTCAATGAGCCACGGTAATTTTTTTTAGAAAGGGCATAACTTAACAGTATTGCAACTGTGAGGTATAAAAATGAGGAAAATAGCAGTTCTTGCTTGTGTCCCCAGCTTGGGGAGGGGAAGAGAGGAATTACTTAAGACACTGACCAGACGTGCTCTATGTTTTCTATCATTAGAAAAATCATAAATATTCACACTATTACAGACAGACTTGGGAGTTACTCAGATGCTACACTAGATGTACTAGCACTGTTCTCTTGGGTAGGAAGCATGACTTCTTTTAAATCCTGCAGTAGCTCAATCTTGTTATCCAGTCTTTTTCTGCTTTCCAGAAGTTTCTGGATCTTTTCCTCTGTTCCTGTTAGAAAAAAGAAAGGGATAAAAGCTTTTACTCATATGCAACTATTATTAATTAAAAAAAACCGTTATATATGCATTAATACTGCAGAGGCTACCACTGCTTAGTTTAACCTACACTAAAGCCCGGTCTTTAGCCTGACAGCCTGTAGGCTTGGTCTCTTCATGAAGAGGTGAGGCTGTGTATTACACCAGAGAGACCAGCTGGAGTATCACAGTGTCAAAAAAGAAAATACAAAGTAGTAGAGTCACTTACTGTGTCATCCATACTCTGTAATCCCCAGACTTGCTATAGATTTAATTTAAACCATCACAGCCAAATGTAAAAATTACTTGTTTAGTTACTAACTCGTTAGTTTGCCTGTGAGCTTTAACAGTTCCATTTTCAGAATCCATTTGTATGGGGACTCCTCCACTAACAACACATTTTAAAACTTTAAATAGAACATCTCTGAATTACACACTTCAAGCAAATTTATGAGCCTAATGGATTTTAGCCAACAACAGCAAAATTAAACCTAAAAGCCGGTTTGGGACAACTGCGTTCAACAGCTGGATTCTCAACACCACAACTCAAGAGCATTTAACGTTCCCACTTTTGGCAAAGCGGTTCTGGCCAGGGTACCGATGGGATTAACCAATCTCTGGACCTTCTTTGCAAAGCCCTTCCTGACCCCATTTCTGCTGCTCTCCCCTACTTCCATTTTCCCAGTGCTAAGGACTATTGAGTGCTCAGGAACAGGCCTTGCTAGAAGTCAGAAGCTTTGCCATAACCTTGTATTGTTAATCACCAAAGTTTTAAATTAAGCAGCTGCTTGTTCGGTAAAAAAACACACACAGAGGTGTTGGTGACCTCCGAGCAGCAAAGTCGAACAACAAAGCTTTCCTCACAGCGTGCAAGGACGTCAAGAGTTAAGATTTTGGTGAGAACCAGAAGGTGTTTTGAACAAACTTGAATTTATTTTTTTGGGGGAGGGGGCAAGACAGTGAAGGTCTTCAAAGTTCCAATGGGTAGAGTGGGGAACGTAGCTCCAGACATTTACCCCTGCTCATTCTGAATTACAGCGCTGGAACCAGCCTTAACTCTGATTTAAAAATAAAAAGAAAAGCCTTTGGCCTTCTGCCTCCACTCTGCTTCTTCTCTTTGTGCAGAAAGCCCATCTCTGCTGCTGCTGTTTATGTGTGTACATAGAAGATTATGTATGTGCACACACTTTTAGAATGTATCTTCACACACACTATCGCTGAGGGTTGAGTGTGGATACTGGACGCAGGCAGCCATAGCGACGGGGATGCCCACTGCCTGTCAAAAATTAAAGAAGGCCTTGAAAGCTCACCCTGGCGCTGACTGAAAAAAAGCAGATGACACCTCTTCTCTTTGCTTTCCTCCGGGGGAAGAATATGAGCCAGCAGTGTGCCCAGCTGGCCAAGAAGGCCAGTGGCATCCTGGCCTGTATTACCAATAGTGTGACCAGCAGGAGTAGGGAGGGGATTGTCCCCCTGTACTTGGCACTGGTGAGGCCACACCTCGAGTATTGTGTCCAGCTTTGGGCACCTCAATACAAGAGAGAGATTGAGGTGCTGGTGCAAGTGCAGAGGAGGGCAACAAAGGTGGTGAAGAGCCTGGAGAGTAAATCTTATGAAGAGCGATTTAAGGATCTGGGGCTGTTTAGTTTGAAGAAGAGGAGGCTGAGGGGAGACCTCATCACTCTCTACAGCTACTTGAAAGGACATTGTAGAGAGGTTGGTGCTGGTCTCTTCTCAAAGGTGATGAGCGATAGAACAAGAGGGAACAGCTTCAAACTGCAAGAAGGTAGGTTTAGACTGGACATCAGGAAAAAAGTTTTCATAGAAAGAGGAGTCAGACATTGGAACAGGCTGCCCAGGGAGGTGTTTGAGTCACCATCCCTGGAGGTGTTTAAAGGTTGTTTAGATGTGGTGTTGGGGGATCTGGTTTAGGGGTGAGCTTTGAGTCCAACCACTAACCCTACTCTACAACGATCCCAAAGGTCTTTTCTAACCTGAATGATTCTATGATATTTGACAGCACATCCCACCACTGTCTCACCACAGCCTGTGCCCACCATTTCACGGTGTTGGCTCAAGAGCCGACGAGACTGCAAAGGAAGTCGAGCCTTCATCGCTTGCCCCACGCAGCTGTCGTGACATAACCATTTGGTATCGAGTCTATATGGCTAAAAGGACCAGCAGGCACATATTTAAAGACAAAGCTGGACACGTGCAAGTGGGAGCTGGATTAAAAAAATAAGCTTAGAGAGTATTTGGATATGAAGTAATAAATTATCAGAAATAAACCAAAGAGCAAACTTGAGGATTGTGTTACTGCATTCAGCACATGGGTAACCTACAGCTGGAAGACACACAGCTCCGTTTCCCTCCTTCCAAAAGGACATGGCAGGAACAGAAACAGCCCAGAGAAAGATGTCAGTGATGCGAATGACTGTCCTACAGGACTGCTTCCTAGCAGAGGGGATGACCTGAAAGGAAAGAATAGGTATTTCTGTAAAATCGGGAATGGCCTGAGGCACGCGTACCTGGAACTACGGTGCTTCTGTCAGCTGAGTGCCAAGGGGCTCTCAGCGAAGGGTCTGTATTGCTGCTGAAGTGCAGAACTCACAGCTGCAGCTCCTCTGAAAACAAGTGCTACAGAGGAGCAAAAAGGCTCCTGGCCAGACCACTCGCCAGCCGCGAGGGGAGATGAAAGCTGGCTGTGGCATCGGCCCAAGCAGGACACACCATGTCCGAGCAGAAAGCAAAATTAAAAGAAGTCACTTTTATCTTGGAGGAGGGAATGAGAACCTCCAACCTAGACATTTGCAACTACTGTTGAGGCAACAGCAGGTCCCACATGAAAAGTCTGAAATCAGTCAAGTTCGCAGTAAAGCTGCACACTGCAAAAAGAATCAATTATCCCTTTTATATATAAAAGGATTTAAAAAAGCAGTATCGACAATGGCGTTAGAGTAACCTCACTACGTTGTGTAAGGCTTTAAAATAGGTTTTGCATGATTTACAAAAAGTGAAAAAAAATAAAACGAAAATATGGATTGAAAGCAAAGCATGTCAGATGACTCGAAATGATCAAAGATGACACAGCAGCTATACTAGTCCTAATTTATTTAGTCCCAGACTTTGTCATCACAGACATGCTAGAGCTTAGAAGACAGATTAGGACAAAAAAAAAAAAAGTTAAAAAAATCTGGTGATTTCCTTTCCTCCTCACAGTTTCACTTGTAATGAACATGGTTTTCATTCTTTTCTCACTGGTTTGTTTCAAGGACTCTTAGATTAGTTTTGGAACCACCCTTGATATGTGTTTTTGTTATTGACCTTGAAATTAAAAGTAGGCTGATGGTATTAGAAGAGAATATTTTGTGATACAGGAAGAACTGAGCTGCTAAAGTAGAGGAGAATCGGAAAGGGGATAAACTTTTACAAAGGAGAATCACACAGTGTGTGTGTGTGTATGTAAGTGCCAGCATCAAGAGTTTCTCCTGTAGGCTGAGAAGAGGATGAAAAAACTGATGGAGCTGTAAAAAGCTGATGGAGCCATGATCCAAGGTTGTGTCACATGAGGAGTTGTGAGCAGAGATGTGTTAATGCCCTCGGATGAAGCACTGCAGATAACTGCAACACCAGTCATTCCCACTTCCAAAACAGGAATTTAAATGTGAGGAGACTGGAGAGAGGAGCCTGGCTTCTTCAGTCGAGCGAAGGGGAAATGGCAAACACGACCTTCGCACACTGAACGTCAGTGCTTACTAATTAAAACCCATTTCCCTTTGCACAGGGATGAATTAAAGCAGTGGTCAGAAAGGCTGCTGACTGTTAGAGAGAGAGACCTGCCTATCTGAAAAACAGTTTTAACCTTGAGGCTGGAGTCCAAGCCCCAGAGTTTGCTTCCACACTAATGACCCAAGCAACTGCTCCTGCCCTTGCTTTCATTTCACTCTGAGCACTCTGAGCTTGTTTTTCAGAGCACATTTACAACTGCCAGCAGGTCCTGGTAAGGTCTGCTCATCGCATTTAACCCTTTTAACTGAAACACAGGAGCTGGTCCGAACAGCCTTCAAAAGGCAGGAGCAGAGCAAGCTGCTGGAGGGAGGGAAATCACCCACAGGAAGGGGACAGGAGTGGGCCCTGTGGGAGAGGGAAAGTCCTCTGAGGTGGAGACCCTTTGGTCTTTGAACGCTGTGGAACTGTGCCTTGCCTCCCCCGCCTCAGGTCAGTCTGACACACTGTAATGTCTACGATTCGGGTAGCAATGGCTTATATTCCGTTGTTTATCTGGTGCTGACAAAAAAGTTCCTTGGAATTTTCATTTCAAATGGTTATTTTATCAAAACTCTCAGGAGAATAACCTCAGTATCCAAAACCATACCGACTGCTACTGCTCCGACAGCTTTTTTTTCCACGTACCTGAATGAATATTTGTCAGTATATTTTCAAACAGACCACAGTCAAAGAGTGACATCACTGTCTCTTCATACTCTGGGGAAAGAGATAATTTGATTTAATATTACAGAGTCAAGCTTTACAGAACTCTCACATTAATGCAGCGCCCTACGTTAGAAGTAGAACAAATCACTAATTACTTTATATCATACCAATCACTCAAGGTTTTAAGATGTCTTCCTCCTCATATAATCTATATTGAGAAAGAAGGATCATTTTGTCAATTCTACTTTTTCAGTGTTATATGGAAAATAGGAAAGGCGACCTGGATGTAAATTCCCTTCTGAGGTCTGCACCATGTGAACAGTCCATTTACAAAGTCATATTTCAGAATTCCCCCATGTCAGGACTGTACATGGAAAGGCAGGGCCGGCCACACCGATCCCTCCTGACAGACCTTGTGACACCCGGGACAGCGTTATCACTGTGCGGTGTTCAACAGCCTCAATTTCATAACTGGGGCTTCCGTTGAAAGAGAAGCACAAAACCCACGGAGTTTGTGTGGCGGTTCAGGGGTTTGCTTAATGGGGAAGACTTTGGACCCCTCACGTGTCCTGGACTTCCTAACTGCTTCTAGCAGCTGTTGCTGTGTTACACAGGAGCTGCTCGTGAGGAAGGTTTAGCCCAAGCGGGACATGTCCCTCTCTGTGCTTCGGGTACTTTGCATAAATTAGCATTTAGTGTCCAAAGGTATTATTCATAACTTTGTAAAGCTCAGAGGACAATAGGAGAGGCAGGTTTGAAATGTTCTTTTTTAACCATGTTGTGGACCACGCAACATTAGAGTGGAACCCTCCAAGAGCAAAGCGTTTCATACAAGCTGATACTTAAACCAATGAAACGCCCAAATAGGCACGAACAGTTGACAATAAAGTTCTAACTAATCATCCAAAGACTTACAAAGTACCTGCTGAGGGGGTTTTCCCTCAAAAGAGAGTGCTGCTACTAACACATAGTTGGACCCGCTGTGAAGCTGTAAAAACAACATAGACTTAGGAACCAAACAAAACGTGTTTCTTTTCAGGACCTCTCTCCTCAGTACCTGCGAGAAGAGGTCAGGCTCAACTCAGGTCTGCTTAAGGGTAAAAAAGTGGCTTCAAAAATTCATGTTGGAAGGATTTACTAGAGCATGCCCAGCTAGCTCTCGCAGATCTTCCCCTCTGCTCACACAAGTATACAAAAAAAATACTTGCTCTCCACCTCCTGTGCAGCTGCAGAAATAAGGCAGGACCCGATTACTGGCACCACAGAAGTACCCTCAGGAAGGTGACCCAGGGCCAAGCGCCTGGGATTCAGAGCAGCATTTCTGCTCTGGAAGCAGAGCTGCCTCCATGGGTCTCCGTACCTGTCTCGGAAGTGTTGTCATCCATCAGTTTTTCCTGTGCCAGGTGAAGCGTGTCCAGCATCTCTTCAAATATGTCATCCAGAAGCCCGGCTTGCTTGCATTTCCTAAGAAAGTCTATCCGGACTGTTAAAACACAAAAACATCCTCTTACACAGGTGTGATCTGTAAAGAGAGTTTTACTCGCTTCCTTCAGAAACTTAAACTTTGTCTAAAGTGTCCCTTCCAGTAACAAACACTTGTGCAAATCTCCAGCTCCTCCAGCCACCCACTGGGTCCTTTCCAGTAGGAATGAAAACACAGTCAGGCAAACGTAAGCATTGTGCTCGGTGGAAAATTACCTAAGCTCTAAATCTGGCTTCATTCATCAAAAGCAAATATCTCCACAATTCTAAATGAACCACTCTAAAGCCCTCAGTATAGGAAAGCAAGTGATTTGTCTTGCTGTTTTTCCTTCCCATCCTCAACAGGCTAAAGGATAGAAAACAGTACCAGAAGGGAATCAGGATTGGATTTGGTAAGAGAATTAAGGCTACTTTTACTGCAGGTGATCCAGGCACTAAACACATTTTTTACAGCCCATCTACTGTGTCATATTTGGATTGTCAGGGAAGTAACTCCCTATGATTATTCCATCTCAGAGCAGCAGGTCAGGGACAGGTTTCAGTAAGATCAAGTCAATGAGCTGGTTCAAAAGGAAAGAGCTAGAGGACAGCTCACAGAAGTTTGCCAGTATCCATTAAAAAACATTACTTTTTACTGGAGACATCTGTGAGAAAAAGAAATGTGATTTCACTTAACACTAGAAACCCTACAAGTATTCCAGGCTCCTTTGCAGGTTCCCTGTTCTTTACAGTGATAGCAAAAGATTCAGAAAAAGCATTAGGCAGCCACCTGCTGTTACAGTACAGAGCCCATATACTTAAGCACAGCCACGGGAAGGTGAATCATCACCACTAATGTTTTCTGAACTTCCAAGTGACAGCATCATCCCAACAAGTAACTGCAGCAGGACCTTCAGGGTAACATAAAAACTGCAGAACTGAAGGATGAGTCCAGTGACTGATTTCATCATTGTAAGACCATACAGAATCCCAGAATCTCTTTGGCTGGAAGAGATCTTTAAGATCATCGAGTCCAATCATTAACCTGGCAGTGCCAGGTCACTGCTAGACCACGTCCTTAAGCACCAGATCAACATGGTGTTTAAATACACCCAGGGATGGTGATTCCAGAAGTGCCCTGGGCAGCCTGTTCCAGTGCCTAGTGACCCCTTCAGTGAAGAACATCTCCGTAATATCCAGGCTAAACCTCCCTGGGCACAACTTTCAGCCATTTCCTCTAGTCCTATCACTTGCTACTAGGGAGAAAAGGCTGACTCTCTTCTCTCTCTAACCCCCTTTCAAGTAGTTGTAGAGAGCAATAAGGTCTCCCCTCAGGAGCCTCGTTGCCCTTAGCTGGACATGCTCCAGCTCCTCAGCGTCCTTCCTGTAGTGACGGGCCCAGAACTGAAGACAATACTTGAGGTGAAGCCTCACCAGTGCTGAGTACAGGAGGACAATCACTTCCCTGGTCCTGCTGGCCATACTATTTCTAACACAGCAAAATACCCTACTGCATTAAGCACTCGATGCACTTCTGGACCTCAGCAGATGAGACGAGCAGGCAGTGGCAGCAGTGATCGCAGCAGTGTTTTGCAAGCCCCACTCCTACTCAGTGTGCAGGAGCTGGTGTTTGAGGCGGACCAAGCTCCTCTCTTGCTGCTGGGTCACTGCCCAACCCCCTGCTCCCCACAGCACCTCCTCTGCTGACCCCTCCCGGGGCACCATGGGGCAGAACTGCACCACTCTCCTCCTCAGCACATGGAGACCAAGGTGAAGGAGGACTGATTCCCTTTAATTCAGCTGTATCGATACAGAAGAGGAAGGTCAGGCTCCTCTTTGCTGAAGACACGCAGCTGAACACAGCGGCCAACCAGAGAGAAAGCATTCCCAGGTGAACCCACCGATTCACATAACACTTTGGCCAAAGCACTGAGATTTGTTTGATGCACAATTATGAAAAGCTGCGCCACCACAGAACAATTCAGGTTGGTAAAGACCCTTGGGACCATCGAGTCC